TTTCTCGGTTTTACTGTTTCTTGCCTTTTTTACATTCTCACCTTCTCTCTCTCTCTCTCTCTCTCTCTCGCTCGCGTTCTCACTTTCGCTTTTTCATACATATATACACATCCTGTATGTATAGAGAAAGATATTAAAAAATCCGAAATCCGAATACTGAACAGTTTAATTATTAAACTTTAACAGTTCGGATATCTAAACAATTTGAAACAAATTCGGATCCGAAAGATTCGCTTCAATCGGATATTTTATCTCTAATCTATTTCTATCTCGGATATCCGGATAAACGGATAATCGTCAACTCTAATCTTACCTACGAGATATGGAAAGATATACGATATTTTTTGAAACAAATATTTTTAATGCGACGTAATGATACGAGTCCTCCGTTGGCGATCAGGATGACGTATAAACGCTTATCTTTGAAGTCGCGCTTCTCGTTTCCGTGCGAAATGCGCAACTAGATTATAAAGGATCACGAGAGCGAAAGGTACGCGTAACATATTTCGAAAAGTCGTTAATACGCGTATCACTCTTAATTACTTAATGCAAATTCGCATTAATTACGGTCTTTGTTGCGCGATCCTCAGTACTCGCAAGCAAATCAAAGGGCTGTTGCAATTTCATTAATAAGTCATTCTATTTTCATCTAATTCTGCTGAAATTACCTTTGATTCGCACATTGCGCATTGTAACGGAGTTACAAGGCACGAATAAAGCACTTGTCACATATAATATTTCTCGATTAGCATTTTCTTTTAGTAATTTTTATTCCACAATGTTTGTACATCTATTTCTGATTAACATTTTTCTCTGATCTCACACAAGCACGTGTTTAATATCTTTTTCAGGCGAGTCATTTAAAATAATGGAGTAAATTAAATTTGCACATTCTAGTGTACAAACAAAAATTGCAGGATTCTTTCGAAGCTAATAGAAATCAAGTTAAACTAAAGCCGTGTATTTAGAATCGACTTTATTTTCAAGCAAATTTTCAAGCAAATTTCATCGATAAATTAAAAATGATTAACATTCATTGAGTCTAAATCTTCTTTTTATCTAGTTATTGGAAGCTTCTACTTCGTTTTCATGTTGCGTAATTACATGCAGCGGAGAAATTGAATGTATTCGCGCCGAATTCTCGTGGTAAACTGCATCATTAAACGTACTAAAACGATAACGTTCAATTAAACCTTTTGCGATCGCATGTATAGAGTGCGATTCATGAAGCCACCGGCTGATAAACAGCGAGCGCTCGATTAGCTTAATTTCTATTCTTCAACAAGATTTAGCACGAATGACATTTGCTGGTCGTATTACCACGATATCGTTGTAATTCACGATTAATATTTGATAGACTATTAATAAACGAACTATTCATCTAGCGTTTATGAGTGTCGCGAGTACCGTGTTCATTTAACTGACTCATTCACTCCATTCGACGCTTGATTAATGATACACGATCTACGGTGGAATGATAGTATTTTGTCAGAGAATGAGAAATTGTAAAGAACTGCGAAACCATTTGTCAAGTCTAAACATGCCAACGAGTTATTTCTTTTTTCGCGCGCAAGCGTCATAAAGGATCATTGTTTTTTTATTTAAACGGAAGTATATCAGCGCAATAGAATTACCGTCTGAAAAACATAATTACACACGCAAATTATGCATACGAGAATCTTCGTCGCGCAATATTTCGGTTTCTGAATCGAAGAGGTTTCAAGTGCGTTTTCAGGGAGAGGAGTGCGTGTCAAATTCAAACATTAAAAAAATATCAGTGTGTAAGTAATTGTAGTTGTAAGAATTGACCATTCATAATAGAATATTCTCATATTCGATATGTAATTAGTCAATTCTTACAATTACAGTCGCTTAAAATTACACTTACGCAATTGTAGAATGGGATTTACTTGTGAACTTTGGACTGAGCGACTATCACAATCATGGTTCACCATTTCCAATTCGATTGTATGTCAAGCAAATCTCCAAGTCGTAGGCCTGATCTTCGCAGAGTTCCTCATTTTAACATTTTAGTAATTGAGCAACTTTATTAAAAATGTTTAGACCTTCTAGTAGATATTTAATAATTAGAGATTTCTCAGCGGTGATCCATTTTTAACTTTTATGGAGAAAGGATAAAAGGAGGACAGAAAAGATTCGATATTCGCTTCATCTCGCTAAATGAATCTTCGTCAAGTTTTCAATCGTTTGTCCACACAAGTCCGGCCGCATATGTGCATTTGGAAAGATCGTCTTTGGATCCTCAATGCCGGGTGTAATTGATACTCCGCTTCGAATGAAAACTTCAGTTATAACTCGTTGCGATCTACGCACAATTTAAAAGTCTCTGCGAATCACAAATTGCATATCACCCTCACCGACCGTGTTTCAGCAAAAACAGATTAATGTTACACGGAGATCGTGTATCGCGTCGCGATTACCTAGACTGATTAGCGTCTCACCCTATTGTCCACCCCCGATACTGTTTACCTAAAAGGATAATATTCCAAATAATTGTTGACAGATAATCAATCGTGTGTACAATGATAAAGAGAGGAAGAAGAAAAAAAGAAGACGTGCCACTCGTCGCTGAGTACAACGTATACGCGCGAAGGCAACCTACCGTTATTGTTCCAAGTTCAGAGGACCTTTTCTCGTTCATGTCATTGCACTTTGGCATTTTTCCAAGTTTCGCCTCGTCCTTGTAGATCTGAGTATACGTCCGGCTGTAGGCACAATTCGAATCATTCAATTAACCGCGTATAAGGAGAATGCAAATAGAATATTTCATCTCAAAGCGGCACTTTTGAACGATTTTAGATACACATTTTCATCAATTCATTTTATAAATAATTATTTTATAATCAACGAACATTATTATTCTCAGAAGCTTAATTGAGAATATCGGTACAATCAATCCTAACTTTCGTTGAATGTAACTACTTACGTAGAAAATTTTTCTATTTGCATTAGCTGGAGCTAGATCAGAATTAATTGTAATCAAAGCCGTCGTGATGCGTTTCCGCAATTTCCACGAGTTGCACAAATATCTAAAAGACGTCTCGGCCTTTCTGATAATCCTCAGACGTCTTTTAGATCTGCATTTCGTTTTTCCCGACGTCTACAAGCAACATGGACGAGCAAGAGACGAGGAGCCGTTCCGTGTAAACGTAATATCCCTCACGGTGGGACGCGTTTGTCGGTCGCGGCTGCTATTCCATAAATTCCCTCTGTAAATACCGTCCTCTGAATTTGGCACGGAGTCTCCCGGTGCCTCTCCGTGGTCTCGGTGTGAGAAACGCAGTCCTGAGATTGGACGGGTCGAACGGATTCGTCAACGCCGGGCCAGTCTTGAGCGATGATTGCGCACCGACATTGCGTGTAAAATATTAGCGAATTAGGGACGATTTAATTGCGATCAAGGATATCATACCTACCTACCCTGTACTCTAGTGGACATGGGCCAAAAACTCGGTATATTATATTAATATACGTTCAAGGTTGGCCCATCGCCATGACCAATGAAGTAGTGAAGGAGAGCAAGCGGAGAGCGAGAAGGGAAAAGGGCAGGAGGGAGGAAGATAGAAGCAAAAGAGCGAATTGTCATCCAATCACATTTTTACGCACTCCAAATTTTTATCCTCGTCATTTGTATCATAGCAGCCGTGTGTTTAAAGACGACTCCACATTATGTGTATGTAATCAAAATTGTAACTGATAAAACGTTAATAAAAAAACGATATCCAAAATCCCGCCTCCTGCTGTGCCATCGTATCGCCCCTGATCTTCATTTCCGTCCAGTATGTAGTTACAGTACGACAAAAGTATTACATATTTTGCGAGACTTTGGTTTAATTTATGATTTTTTCCATAATTTTTCGTTCTAATGTCATTTAATATTAGAAAAACGTGGGATTGGCCGCGCAAAAAACGTACGATCCACGGAAATCACGGCAATTGTGCCATTGCGGTTACTAGAGTTTAGATATTGCCGAATTTTTAGATTAGAATTATAGATTTATATATATTCAAAAACTTTCAAATCAATTTAATATCTATACAATTTATTGATAACAAATGAATTTAAAAGAAAAAATTTAGAAGAAAAATGTAGATCGATGAGAGAATAACACCAATAAGCGAAAGAAGCTTTTAAAGATGTAAACTTTTTAACAAAATGAAATAATTACGAAAAAGTAACAGTTTTTAATATTGTATTTATGTCTGAAGATAATATAAAAAGTTTAGCGTGATTTAGATCCTGGATAAAAAATGATTAGAAGTAGATATGGTTCTAAAAAATAATTAAAATAAAATGAGAAAATGTTTAAATGTTTTTTCAGTATTAAAATATATGTGTATTTATTTTAAATTCTAATTTTATCCAAAAATGTATTATTAAATATAAATATTGACCTTGAACATTTCATACACACATAACATTTATTTTTATATGAAAAGTACCTACATTCTAGTCATTTTCTACAGAAACTGTAGACTTGATACATCTTTAATTAATCAAAGTCAATCTTATTGTTTAATAATATTCCTGTACATTTTACAATTTTAAAATTAATTTAATTCAACAGTTTAAACATATAAATTATTATATAAGAATATTAGATATTTTAGTATTATTTTATTACTACTATAATCTGTAAAATAAATAGTAATTAAATGTAATTTTCTTTAAAAATTTCTTAATATATTCAAACTTGAAGAAAGCCGCGGTCATGAATTGAATTATAATATTAAAGGGAGAAATCATATGACTGCTTCTTTACAATTTATGTAATTTACATTAATTTCTCTTACGCGCGATTAATTTCTCGACGCTCGATTAAATCGACAATATATGACACGATGAGCGAACCATGAATTTTCACAAAGTCGACGTGCGGGCCTTCCTTATCTCTTTAAGGAAAGAAATGGAATATTCGAAATTGGCGCCAACTCTCGCGACGACTGGCCACGCCCTCAAAAATTTAAAATTTGCGAACCGATTGGCTGTTCGACCTATTCCTAGAGCATTATAATATTAGGTATTTGGATCCGCCATTTTTAGTCCCTTCCCCACTCTTTGTTCTCTCTTCAATCTTCTTAGTTTAGCGGCGAAGTGGAGAGAGAGCAAGGGAGTGGAAAAATGACTAAAAATGGCGGATGCGAATAGTGCCTTACTATTCCCTTCCTCGCGCCACACTAAACTCCAACCTCGCACATGTTCGCCACGGAACTGCTCCGCCATCGACGCCGTTGGCGCCGTCCTCGCACGTCCTCGTTCCTTCACGTTCCTCCGTGATCGATGGTTATGTATGTACGCGCGATTAGGCATCGCGGACAATAATGATGATCGCAATTTTCTCATATAATTAGTTTCACGATAATTAATATGTGTTGATAAATAATATGTGTTGAAGAGAGTGTCTAGAAGAGAAGATACCTCTTGCACATGCGATACGTTTTTATCGACGGCGAGAACGGAAAAACCCCGAGACCGGCACGAGATATTTCACGCAGCATCACAAGTCCGCGGTTATCTATACGGTTGGTCGAAGTAGATCCGGACAGATCGTAAATGAGAATGAACTGATTGTGCTCCGTACGAGGGATTCATAATTTAGCAGTGTCGAGAGCGAAACGATGTATACGTGGAAGCTATCCAGTTATGCTCTCAGAAGATTCAATAGTGGTTATGGCAATGGCACTAGTAAATTAGCGCTCGTTCTGCAACACTGCAGTCCGAGGACGCAAGGTCGCGGCAAACTCGGTAGCTACCGCAGGAGGATAAGTTCATGGTTCCGAGAACAGGGTACGCAGACAGCTCAGGCCTGTAAGAAACAGTTTGAATTTGTGGCGGCCCAGAGGATCAGGAGATACATACAAATATTCCACCTTTATACGAGAATATGGGATGAGGTAGCACTGAGAGAATTCATGCGGCTGTGGAGACTTAGACTTGCTAAAAATGCCAAAAACTTCCTGATAAGCGCTGCTGGAGTAAGCATATACAACTGGGATCGCAACAGGATAACTGATGAAGAAATTAATAGGTACTTGCTATGAACGTTTGTAAGAACAAGACATATAAAATATATTCTTACATAATAATCCTTTTTGACGTTCTATATCACAGATATAATCGTGAGATTGAAGGAATTTATAGATTACGAGACTCTACAGTAGTTTGCACAAAGTGTCATTTGCGAATTGTTATTGATACTATACAGCCTGATATAAAATATTGTAAATGTAGTGGAGTTCAGCCTTCTGATGCTTCTGATGAAAATTGTAAGTTTTTCTTGTATCGGCTATTCAATTATGTATGTGTGAAACATTTTATTATATACATAAATATATTTTATATTATATATTGTTTAAGTATGTCAAATTTTTATGTGTAATATACAAAATATATACAGCAGATGGCAATTGGCAACCTTTCATTGAGCGTCAGGATATGTTAATATGGAGGAAAGTAGTACCTGATTCGGGTGGATTGTTTGCCTATAAAGTATATGGTTCCTTCTCCGATGTTACCGCTGAAGATTTTTTACAAGTACAAATCGATGTAGATTATAGAAAGCAATGGGATCCCACTGCTCAGGAGTTACAGATTGTTGAGACCGATCCGAAGTCCAAACCGTCTGTTAATCATAGTACTGATGTTATCCATTGGGAAATGATCTGGCCTGTAAGTGTGATATAATGTGCCATTTTTTTAGATGAATCTATCCACTTAATGATTTGTTAATTTATATTTGTGCAGAAATTATTTTCTAATAGAGATTATGTGTATCAACGACGATGGATTATGGATAGAGAAAAAGGACTTGTAGTTATTGTCAGTCGAGTGACGGAACATCCTAATGTACCAGAAAAACGAGGAATTTATAGGTATATAAAGAAGTCAGCATTAACAATCAATATTTAAACATTCATATAAAATATATGTGTATGAAAAATCATTAAGTCAGTTGATCAATTCTTTAATTTTTATTTCTTCTAGTATTATATTTTGTTAATAAAACAGTTTTTTTTGAGTAATTAAGGGCTGAGTAATCACCACAGCCATATTGAATTGTGTTAAAAGTGAGAAATGACACATTAATTTTTATCAAGTACATGTTATTTGGAAATAAAAACAATTTAGATAAAATTAAATGATGAGATTGTTTTAAAACAATTATAAAAATGGATAAAAGATATCCTTATCCCTCCTATAGCCAGTAAATAATCGTAAAAAGTGATAAAAGGCATACGAAGTGCTGCTATTTAAGGCACATGCGTAATCTATTTTCACTTGTATGTGCTTTTTATCACTTTATTATTTACTGTTAGGGAGCGGGGTAAACAAAGTTTTCATCCAGTTTTATAAATGTTTTAAAACGATCTCGTTATTTTGTTTTATCCAAATTGTGTTTATTTATAAACAGCAAATAACAAAAATTAACATGTCATTTCTCTCTTCTGATATCAAGATATCACTGTGATGACTTAGGCGCTTTTTAATAACAACATTTTAAGCTATCGAAATTAAATATCCCAATAAGAGAGAGAGAGAGAGAGAGAGAGATATTTATTCTTTGTTTAATAACAAGCCCACAAAAAACTGTACTCTATGCTGGGGTGGAAACCAGCTTATGTATTTTGAGTTACTGAATACGAATCTGATATCAAAATAGGATCATCCAAGATAAATTTTCAATTTAGAGCGAAAAAATGAGTCAAAAATGGGAAAAAAATGGGTCATTTTTTCGCTCTAGATTGATTCTATTTTGATTTGTATTCAGATTTGTATTCAGCGACTCAAAATACATAAAGCCCGATGTCCACCATGCTAGAAATCGGTTCGAGATCTCGGACAGAGAAAAAATTAACAAATCATTTGAACAATTTGATCACATGACCATTGCGATTGGTCAATTTTTTCTTCATCCGAGATTTCGGATCGATTTCTAGCATCGTGGACACAAGGCTTAAGAATAGCTGAGTCTCCACCCTAGCAGAGGGTACTTTTTTTTGTGGACCTGTGTAATTAACACTTTAATATCTGTATGTAACAGAGTTAGAACATATTGGTCGTACATGGTGATAAAGCCTTGTACAGAATTTCACGAACCAGGCATTGAATTTGGACTTACTTACTTTGATGATCCTGGTGTCTCAGTGCCATCTACTGTTACTGCATGGGTAGCATTGAGAGGTTTGTCACAAATTATAAAATCAATTATGAATTTTTTTTAATGCATTTGTAATAACTAATTATGACGATTATCTTAGGTTTACCAGACTTTCTAATTCGCATGAGACAGGCTTCAAAAGATTACCAAAAATATAAACTAATGAAAAAAAATGCACCTGACAGTAATCATCTTACTTTATCTGAAGAAGATGTTTCCAAACAGCAAATCGATGTAGAAGATAAGTTAAAGAACAATAAAAAATTTATGAGAGATCATAAAGATCAACAAGACGATTCTACTAACGATACTAACAAGTTAGATTTAACACACGATGTACAGCAAGAAAATGATTTGACGGAAAGTGAAAATAAGGATACCACTTCTGCACCCAAAGAAGAGCAAGGTTTATTACATTATTTCTATCTTACGAAATTATTTGCATTTTTGAATTTTTGACAAATGGATTTAATGAAGTAACTTTTGGCTAGTAGATGTTTAAACGTGATTTCGCATGGAGGAAACAATCTGCCGGTAAAGCTATAGAACAGATTCATGGATGTGTGGAACAAGTGACATTTTAACATATCTTGATGATATATGATTTCATAGATAATAAGAATGAAATTGTGTGAATATGACAATTGTTCATCCTATTTTTTAGAAAAGTATAGATTCCATTTTGTATAAAGCGAAGAAACAAAAATATTAAACAAGAAGTGAGACTGATTAGGTATGTCATCGCCTTTAGTCCATTTGTTAATCAAAAATTTGCATTATATATCGTAAGATAATGAACAAGAGCAAGCAAAAGATCTGATTTTTAGATTTTGGAAAGATGATATGTGAGAAACTGCTTAAATTTTATAATTTATATAATATAAAGATATCTGTACAAAACAAATTTAATTAATTGTATATCTAAACATAAACGCATAAGATATATTTGTATATATTTGTACAATAAACTAAAAAGTATGGCTGAACTTTAAGACATTCCTCATACATAGAGGATGAATATATAATATATAATCATTCATTTCTTTGTGAAGAGTTCTTTTTTAATAATCTGTTTACAGATACACGAATTAATTTATTTTTCATAAATAACACTAGACAAAACTTGACCTTTTTTTTGCAAATGTGAATAGTCATCTCCAATATATTTTTATTTGCTAAACACGAATCCGTTATTTAAACTGCATGTATCATAGGTTGCATGACATATTGATATGATAGTATATAAAAACATATCGGTACGTTTTTTGGAGAAACAATGACCTCTAGTGACTTCATCGGAGTTTGGATTTTGCTTTAGGATCCTCTTAAATTTGATTATTAGTTCGCATTTCTAAGAAAAATAACGTCTAAGAAAAATAAGATAAATACGATATAAAAAACGATTTTGAAAGTATAATATTGGCAGTAAATTTTTTAAAAATTTTATTAATATCACGTAAAAATATCAACTTTTAGCTTTAAAGTGTATTCTGTTTTATTTCAATATAATTTTGCATTTTTGAGATATAGAAATTTCAAAATAGTTCATAATTCGCTATCTATGTAATACGAAGAAGATATCTTATTCCTATGCGTGTGTACACACACACACACACACACACACACACACACACACACACACATTTACAGAATAATTTCAATATTGAGTATAAGTGAAGAAAGTTATATTCAGTCAAAGTTTTGTTTGGTAATTTCTATTTGATATTTAGAAACACACACACACACACACACACACACATTAGAGTATTTATAGCGAATTCAGTTGGACGCAGTCGTATAGATTAAAGCCATTGTACACTGATTTTTAATCTGTGCGAAAATAAAATACTGATATTTCAAATTATAAAATATCAATTTTACTTAAAACACAATAAGATATATGGAAGATTTCATGATTTATTTCGTTTTCATTAAATATTCATATTAAATATATTTTTAAGTCAATTATGACGGCTTTAATATGTTTAGTCCGTACTGAATATATCCAATCGAATTCGCTATTATTGTCATTATTCAATTACCAATTCTTCTCTCATCTGAGAATTCACTTCATTCGATAGTGTTTTAGAAACAATTCGATAAGGTTGCATTTCCAAATTTATGTTCATGCAACATATTTTTATCGTCTGGCGTGAAGAATGTGTTCCTAAAGTTTGACCATACCTTTTAATTTTTATATTTGTTATTGAAGGAAAATTATTGTTAATATGGAAAAAAAGTAATATCTATTATTATTTAATATTATTTTTAATTTTTAATTATAAATATTTAAATGTCCCATTTGATTTAATACACACTTAGATTAGGACCGTCGCACCCTTTCAAAGATCCTGGGGCAATTGTGAATAGTCAGAAGCATCAAAGATGCGTTGATGTAGCATATCTTCATTGGCGAATGAAACTTTATAAACTAAGATTTAAGTGTCTTCACAGATAAAGGATCGTAGAGATCCTGCAAACATTTTGAATTATATTTGAATAACAGTAGATTTGTGGATATATGTTCATATAAACTTTTTTCATTATGGTGTGGGAAGCTCGACTCCGAAATTTGTCACCTTATTTTAAGTACACATTGTGTGTACACACACACACGCGCACGCACACACACAAACACACACACAATATATATTTTCTCTCTGTATGTAAATATAGGTAGACACAAATGTGATTTAACTCGTAATAAATTTAAACTTTGTGTGTAATAAATATAAACGTCATAAATTTACACCAACAAAAAGTGAGTGTAAATATTTTAAATTATAAAATACTAATTTTTCTGATGTTGTATTTTTATCAAATTGTTATTGTAGATCTATTTTTATATAATTAATCTTTTCGGGCAATATATAAACATAGTTTTTAAAGAATTAATAAAAATTTCTCTCTATTAAATTCTTGATTTTACGTTTAAGAAACATTAGCATTTTTTGAAATTGTGGCTGAAGTTATACATAAACTTTAATTTTCGTGCGAAATATAAAATATGTAAATGTATATACATATTAGTATACAAATATATTTTAAGTGTTTTCTATTGTATATATAATTACATATATGTGTAATGTAAATACATATAAATATATATGATATATTTATATATAATATATATTTATATACTGCATATATGAAAATATTATTGTAACATTTTTAAAATTGTAAGGAATAATCATAGAGAAAATAAAATAAAAGAGTAGTCAATTTCATTAGAGAATGTGAGATGTAAATAAATTATATATTAATCATGATGTTAATAATAAATAATTATCATTGTTTTATCTATTTCTTGTAAAATGTTATTTACGTATCACTTTTTATCATTTGTTAATGTATAAGTTCAAAGGTATTATACATAGAAAGACTAAAAATAAATTTATCGAGTATAAAAAATGGTTCGCTTTCGCTTGAAGTCGCTATTCTAAAATCTAGATTTGTGATCCGAAATTCGTGGTCCTGCGATCTATAGTTCAATGATATCTTGCAAAAGCCTGCGCCCGTGAATGTGTGACATGTAAGTAGGTGATGTAGGCCGTGGTGGGGTTGGCAGTTGCCTTCACAAAGCACAAAGTGTAGTGTAGTAGAATATAGAGTAGAGCGGTGCTGCGGTCGGCCGGTCGGCGGCGACAGTGACGGGAGCAGCGTCGTGCAGTGAGGTCAATCGTGTTTTGTTTCATTCGGCGGGGAAGAACGATCGGCAGCTTTCGTTCGACGTTCACGCCGTCACGGCGATTCCCAGCTGGATCGCGCACTCCGTTCCGAGACACGAAAGTTTCTCACGGAATTTTTCTATTTTTGGAAGACTGGTGAAAAAAAATGCTTTTCATCATTGGCACGCACGTTAGGCACTGAACGCCAAGACACTGTCTCTTTCACTATCGACTTGTTGCTCAGCTCCGATTCCTGACGCCGAAGGAGAGCGAGTCTCAGCACGTAAGTTTCAGCACGCTGAGCCTGGAACATCGGAGGACTGAACGAGCGTCCTTCGGTGATTCAGGTTTGTCAAACCTGTTTCAAGGACGCGCGATTTTTTCCAAGCAAGAATTTTAAGTGACTTTCCCGGCTGGAATGAGGGCCTGGCCGTTCTGTTTAGATTGATCCCTCTTTTTCTTTCAAGTGAGTCAGAGAGAAGAATCTTTCTTAAATTAACCATTTCCTGTATAATATTTTTTGTATATTTTTTTATTGTAATGATATTTACTTCTTCAATTCGCCAACTTTCAAGATAGCCATTTGATCACTGCTTTAATTAATTTTTTTCTAATTTATATCTAATTATCTTCTTTCTTATAAGCAGTGCCTAGGAGTTACATCAAAATAAAATTAGAAATTTAGAATTGTTTCCTATATATCTCTTTTAAATTACAATATTTCTTTTACTGTAATGACCTTGTGTTTACTTCGTTTATCAACTTCGAAATTAGCCGCTACGTATGCAAAGTGCACTTGTTGCGACGTAGGCGTTCGCAATTTCCGCGCAAAAAAGAAAGAAACGATTATCAATTCAATAATGGCTCGTTTCAATTTGTGCTTGAATCGGTAGTCCAATAGCATGCTATGAATAATCAACGCTGTTCGCAATTGCAGAGCGCAAGATCGCTAGGAGTTAATAGCGAATTCGGTCACTCGCATTATATCAAATTAGTGCATACTAAAAGGTGTTTTATATAAAATTAATAAAATTAAATATTAGGAAAAGCATATAAATATTTTGAGCAATCAAACAGCCAATAATATTGTCACGTTATTTAACAGACTATACATATATTATTTCATTTTCAAATTTGATTAAAAATAGTTATAATAAACAAGACATTATTAGAAACAAGCTGTCATAAACCAATTAATAAGAGAATCATCACTTATAATCAAAATTGATATAATACATCTATATTTATTTAAATAAATTTATCTCGGATACATGATTGTGTGCCGATTACTTTTCGTACCTGCAACGCAATTAATGATAATTAATTAAATTATGCCAGTGCATTTAGATGCTTTACGTGCATTAATCCAGTGTAATACGAGTGTCGAAAATATGTGAGATACGTTTCTTTTCTTTTGTCTGAGGCATCTAAGGCAGTGATATTCGTGCGGAATGTACCTTCGCTATTTCAACAATCTGTTTTCGAACGACTATGCATGTATCTTTATCTTGGAATATAATTCTACGTTCCGTCGAGATAACTTGCTTGTTAGCATAAAATGAAAATGTGTCGAGCCATTTATCGCCTAAGTATATGCCATAGTAATGTTGTTATTCAACGAGCAAATCTATTTGTTCTAATTATTTATATGCGAGATTGTTCGATTTTATCATGACAATTATATGTATAGTGATTATGTCATTTCTATATCTTTCTTATTTTTATATAGTGGAACTTGTCATTAAATAAAAAATACATACAGCAATCATAATCATTAATCAAAAGAAAGTATCAGATCTACTGCAGGAAATATGGCAATCATTATACCGTTTGAATAATAATATTTTATTAATTCAATGATTTTAACGATTAAATTTGACATTGATGATGGACACCAGAAAAACGATAGAAACTATTATAACAAGGTTATCACAGATCTGGAAAACTGGGAAATCATGGAAATTTACAATTGATTATAGAAAAATTAAGGAAAATTATAAAAGAATCTGGAGTTTTTTTTAGAGCTTTGCTCAATTTTTATAAAATGCTTTTATTCCAAACAATTGTTATAATTTTTTAAATAATGTATCTAACATTTATAGTCAAATGATACTGATTTTTTTAGTCAGTATTGCAAACTATATACTAGGCCATGCATCAATCATTATATTAAATGAAATGTAATTATTCCCTTTTTAGAAATTAAACATTATAATGTCAAGTTTATTTTTTGTTTTAATTTCCATACAGTTTAATACGAAACTTAGTTCACTTTAATTAAACTTTGTTTACAATTACAAGATACATATTAAAAGATACATATTTTATTAAATATATTTTTTACTTCAAATTGTAAAATTAAAATTTATATTTTATTCGATATTTTTATTCAATTATTTTTTTCCGTTATAGTTGCATTCTTTTTTCTAATACTTATTTATTTTTTGTTGGATTGAATTTGCATCCAAGATTTCATTATGCTGGCAAGTTTCTAAATGTATAATATGTTGTTTTTAATAATATAAGATAGATTTCTTACAATTCTTACTTCTAAATGTTAAAATTTACATATTTGATATTGATCAGAAAATTTTCTATTGTTATCTGGAAAACCTGGAAAAATCAAAGAATTTCAAAATTCATTTCTATGGCAATCTTGAACTATAAAGTTATAACTGATACTTAATTGTTTTATTAGATTTGATAGGCATTAAACGAAATCATTTAAGGAGCAGACTTTCAAATTGCATTTTGTCCAAAATTTTTGAGTTAAAGATGATGTTGAGTGTTGAAAGACTCATATTGTAAGCTACTTTACGATGTTTTAAAAGCATTTTTTTATCAGTTTATGTGCTAGAAAAAGGTATAGACATTCGAAATGCATTATGTCCTTTAACTAGAGGCGAATTGTTTTTTTCTGTAAGGCGCGTGGTTTTCTTGTGATTTTCTTTTTCGTTTTCTGAAAATTATAAATTTTGGACAAAATGCATTTTGAAAGTGTGCTCCTCAATTCCATTATCACGTTTCCAACTGTCGAAGGAATTTACTTATTAGAAAACTAGATATGATAAAATTTCAAACCGACTCTTAGGGTCATTTTAACATACGTAATCGACCGATTAGTTTACTGGAATTGGTCAATCGCATTTAAGATTTTACTCTTTATCTTTTGAATTTTAAAAATTAGAAAAACGAACAGTAAGTTAAACCGAAATTAAAGTTAATCTTTCGACATTGATCGAACCAGACTTTAGTGTCAGACTTTATTTTCTCAGTTATTGAGTTAAAACTTAATTACTTGAGTTATTTAATTAGCAATAAATTCCATTCCGTGTAATACAATATATTAGGTGTAGTAAAAAGAAATCCATTATTTTTCTAATAGATGGCTTTAGTAATCTGTATCTCGCGAGATACAGATTACTAAAGCCATCTATTGAAAAAATAATGGATTTCTTTTTATTACACCTAATATTCCACATCCCATGCTATCCCATCACACCCAGATCCTGCCGAATCCTCGTGATACGTTCGCATCGAACAACGAAGTTCGCTACAAGAATTTGAACCAACAATTTTGAAAAATGGCAGAAAAGAAGAAAGGCAAGAAAATAAAGAAACAGAAGGAGACCGTGGATGAGTATCAATTACGTAGAAACCTGAGGGAGCAGGCAAAGATGACAAAGTCCACGGACCAGGAAACTGCGATGCCTACGCAAGTAGTCGAGCCACAATATTCCGAAGATATTAGGATCGGTGGTATAGAAGGGTGAGTTTCTCTTTCTCAATCATGTTTAATTAATTCAATTAATTAAATCTTCTTATGTGTGTGCACTCCTATAATAAAGAGAAATTCTGTTAAATTCTCGAAACAATTCAAATTTATCTATGATTATATACATATAAGCAAAATAATATAAATATTAATATATTATTTTATTTTATGAGCAAGCACGATGAAACATGCAAGATTATCGAAAGTTATCGGAAACATGAGATATTGGAACGCATTATGTCATAGTCTGTCACTTTTATGAAATGTGTTATGTCATACTCTGTCACTTCTTGTTTTCTATAAAATTAAAAAATTTATCCGAGAAAACCCGGATAAAAATCTTGTGAATTATATTATATATCTCATTTTTGTTTCGTCTACGATTTTATCTGTCAAATCTAAATCATGGCACAATCGATAACTATTATCAATTCAAGGATTATTGTTGATCGATAATTATTAAATATGCATACAGTTCGAATATTTCCTTTGCTTATTTTGCAATGCTCTTTGTAGCGTTTCGCAATGTTTGTTCTTGTTTTTATTGTAATATTTATCTTATCATGACGCAGTTACGAAGATTTAAAG